CTTGAAAAAAGAATGAACAAATTGGTGTTTGAATGGAGTGATGAAGGTAACTGCAGTGTTAACAGCGAGGATGCGCTGGAAGGCCTGCAACCTCACCCAGACGTAAGAAGCTTGACAATAAAGGGTTACGGTGGTGAATATTTCCCATCATGGACATTGCTACTCAATAATCTGATGGTGCTGAGATTGAATGGTTGCAGCAAGTGCAGGAAAATCCCAACACTTGGATGTCTTCCTCGCCTTAAGATTCTAAAGATGAGTGGAATGCCTAATGTGAAATGTATAGACAATGAGTTCTATGGTAGCAGTAGCAGTGCAGCAGTACTGTTTCCAGCACTTAAAGAATTCATTCTGTTGGGCATGGATGGTCTTGAAGAATGGATGGTACCAGGTGGAGATGTTGTTGCAGCATTTCCTTGTCTTGAGAAGTTGTGGATTGAGGGGTGTGGCAAGTTGAGGCAACTCCCAACTCTTGGATGTCTTCCTCGCCTTAAGATTCTAAGGATGAGTGGAATGCCTAATGTGAAATGTATAGGCAATGAGTTCTTTAGTAATAGCGGCAGAGAAGCAGTGCTGTTTCCAGCACTTAAAGAATTCAGTTTGTTGGGCATGGATGGTCTTGAAGAATGGATGGTACCAGGTGGAGAAGGTGATCAAGTATTTCCTTATCTTGAAATGTTGAGCATTAAGGAGTGTGGAAAGTTGGAAAGCATTCCGATATGTGGTCTTTCATCTCTTGTAGAATTTGAAATTAGCGAATGTCATGAACTGAGATATTTGTCTAGTGAGTTTCATGGCTTCACGTCTCTTCGAGTTTTGAGGATATCGGGGTGTCCAAAGCTGGCATCCATTCCAAGCGTACAACACTGCACAGCCCTGGTGGAATTGAATATATGGAGGTGCCGTGAGTTGATCTCAATTCCTGGTGATTTCGAAGAATTGAAATATTCTTTGAAGAAATTGGGTATTGAGGGATGTAAATTGGGAGCTCTTCCAAGCGGACTGCAATGTTGCGCATCTTTAGAGGAATTGTCAATAGTGGATTGCAGAGAGCTTATCCATTTTATTGATGATTTACAAGAATTGTCTTCTGTTCAAACGTTGTCCATTGTATCATGCGATAAGCTCATCAGTGTTCCATGTGATTTACGACAATTACATTCTCTTGTTCATTTAACAATTACTGGGTGTCAGAGTTTGACTCATTTCCCAGAGGATTGCTTAGATTGCCTCACCCAACTAGAGGAATTGAGAATTGGTGGTTTCTCAGAGGAGCTGGAGGATTTTCCTGCAGGAGTTATAAATTCAATCCAATACTTGAGTGGGTACCTTGAAAGACTAGAGATACATGGGTGGGGTAAACTGAAGAGTGTACCGCATCAACTTCAACACCTCACTGCCCTCGAGAGATTGTCTATAAGGGATTTCAAGGGAGAGGAGTTTGAGGAAGCATTGCCAGAATGGTTGGCCAACCTTTCTTCTCTTCAATCTCTTTGGATTATGGATTGCAAGAATCTCAAGTACATGCCAAGTTCAACAGCCATTCAACGCCTCTCCAAATTAAAGCGATTATCGATTAGTGGATGTCCGCATCTCTCAGAAAATTGTAGAAAGGAGAATGGCTCTGAGTGGCCCAAGATTTCTCATCTCCCAACAATCGAGATAGAGTGTACACGTGTACAGGTAAGTTGGGGTTTTAATTATTCCGTTACTTTGGAGTATGCAGAGGAGAGAGAACCAATTAAAGAATTCAAATTAACGAAAGCAATAATTAGACTTTATTCTTTTAAAATTAACTATCAATCATAATCAAAACCATTAATAATCTTATTATCTTTTATTATTATGTTATCAAAATTTATACTTATTATTGTAACCATCACTCATTATTGTAATAACATTTCATAAAATAAATGATTTGTTTGTTTTTTTTTCTATCTTAACCTAAATTTTAAACATTCTATTATAACCTAAATTTGATTCCGTGGAATATTATGTATCAAAATATAAATTCAATAGCCATCCAACATTTTTTCAATCATTATTCTAATATCATTCTTATAAGATAATTTAACCTATATTTATTAAGATTGTTTCCATTTATTAAAGATATTTTCTTTATCTATATAAATTAAAAATAATTTAATTTATATTTATTAAGATTGTTTCCATTTATTAAAGATATTTTCTTTATCTATATAAATTAAAAATAATTTAATTTATATTTATTAAGATTGTTTCCACATATTAAAAATAATTGCATTATCTATATAGTATTATTTATTTTAAAATCATCAATTCTATATACAATTATGATACTTTAAACAAACCATTAAATCTTAAGATTAACCAATTGATAAAACTCACATTTAAATAACAACCAATAAGATTATTAGTGAGGTTACAAACCAATCACTTTTTAGTAGAAAATACAATTAAAGCTAAAAACACTCTTTAGTTGACCCCAAGATTTAAAAAAGAAAAAAGGTAAATTGGCTCCAGTTTATATAAAATATAAAATATAAAATATAAATTAATAAATTATATAATGATAATATATTATCTAACTCCAGTACAAGTAAAAAAAAAATTTCTTTAAAAATCAAATGTTAACTTAGATGAGTAGCAATAGGATTGATTAAAAATATAAATTTCAATGGTGATTAAGAACATTATTCTTGGAAGGTAGTTAAACGATTGAAAAGGTATTTTAGAAATTTCTTAGATGATGATATTTTTCACTGACTTTCATGCTGGAATATGTTTTTTTTTTTATTGTATTCATTGAATTGAATTTGCTTCCTATACATTTTTAGAAACTATGAAATGATCCCATTTTCCTGACATTTTTTATCCACCCAGTTGATTCATTCTGCATTTTGTAGTTTAGCGTTGTTTATCATTCCAAAACTAATACCAAGTTGGCTATTTTAACTATCATATGTGCAGTCGGACCTCGAAGACTGAAGGAAGCCATGGAATGGTTATTTGAAGCTTCTGCAGACTAGTGTTTGTCAGGCTGGATAAATGTGTGACCGGCATAATTCTAGACTGAAGTATATTTGTTAAAATGTAAGAAAATAGATGGAGTTGGCAGCTTATCACGAAGATAGAAGAGCTTAATATAGATATGGATGTGAATTCACTTGTGTAACTTCTTTTATTTTATATTTGATTTTGTTATTTAACTTTAAAGCATTCGATTTTTATGAGGTTATATATGTTGATGATGTTCTTATCACTATGTTCTTGTAGAATAGATGATTATGCTGATGTACTCCAAATTTCTGAAGAATTATTGTACGTTTTGTCTTGTAAATCTTCCTTCATCTTACATAATGTTCTTCTCACTATGTTATTAATTCACGGCTCTCTCTATTTTCTCTTTAAGTACTTGAATATCTAAAATAAGGCATAAAAGCTATATGATAAAAATATGGTTGATTTCACAAAGTCTATTCAAACTTCAATTAGTTGCTTCAATTAGTTGCAGAAAAATGAAAATGAAGGTTACCTCTAACTAGAGAAGCTGAGGGGCCTCATTGCTGAACCAAAGGGAAGAAAAACTGATTCACTGTGTACAAACTGCCATGTACACGGCATGATGTCAACCACTTTTGAAGGAAGTGCTGGCATTCTAAATCTGTTTTTCCTGATCGGCAGCATGCTAATCATCAGGAAGCCCTTAAATGCACCTGCATTCACTTGCAAATAAGTTTAAAAAGGATAAGAAACAGGACCAACCCATCATCCTGTTCATGCCTATCATCTGTGGATTTACGAAGCTTTGAGACAAATTATTGCTGTTTTCTTCCTTCTTTCCCCCAAGCCAAAGTCCCAGTCAAAAACCGTACTTGTAGTCAAGATTCACATGTTTGCACCTACTTGATACATTTGCAATTTGGATTTTGTAATCTTCATTACTGAACACAAGCTTTCGACACTAACTTGGCCAGAGTAAAGCTACCTTGACCAGTAAAATTGCTGCCTAACATCTCTTTAATTCATTCTTTGGTTTTACAACAACCCACACCCCGTAATTTAATACATTCGTAAAACAACAACTTTCAGTTTTTTTTTTATTATTTATTTTTATTTACGGGGGTTTACAGAGAATCCATCCAATAAGCAATTTTAGCCCCTGACAGCAGAAATATGAAGTTGGGAATTTTGTGTTGCTTTGGGTTTTCAATGTACATATATATATGATGCACATAACTCAAATGCTGTTATTTTACAACTTTTTCAGACATGTACCTTTTCTGCTATCAGCAAAAGGTTTCAAACCGTACATATACTTGGCATAACTCAAATGCTGTAATTTTACTCTACTCTGAAAATCTGGCAAACAACAGGAAAAATCAAAATTCTCACTTGCACACCTTTATCATAGCACCAAAAGTCCTAAATCATACCAATCTATGCATTCTAATGAACTTTATCTTATTTTTTCCCTTTCAATTCTCCGTCAGTAAACTAGAAAGGAGCAAGAAAATCCCATTTTTCTTTTCCCTCGTTTGTTCTTAACCAAACTGGCCAAGAAAAGAGAAAGTGAGCAAGAAACAACACCAGTGCTTCTCAGTCTTGCACTCATCAGCTTCTTCTGATACTTGAAATCAAGAAAAGAAAACGGATAAAATAAAGGGTCAAGGTGAAGAAGTCAAGTCTAAAAGTGAGGCCCAGGTTGAGATTCAGGTTTGCCTCTCTTTCTCTTTTATTATTTATGGAACTTATTGTTACGCGTGTAGGAAAAATTATGTAATTACGCACTCACGAGTGGTTTTATTTATGGAAAAACTGTGAAGTTATATTCTTCTTCTATAGGCCGAAAGTTGAGAAAGAAGAAGCTCATAGCCCTGATGATGTTCAACGTTTGTACTTGGTGCTAGGGCCAGAGTCTGGTGACAGACCGGTTGAAGAGAAGCAATCCCCTCACTCTGGTTCTAAAAAAGGCTCTTCAAGTACTGATCATGATGGTGGAAGTAGTTGTGCTTCTGCAGGCAATAATGGAAGTGAAGGCGGGCGTGGAAACCAGTTAATTAATTGTAATAGATTCACAAAGGCTCAGGCCAGTGATTCAAGGAAATTTGGTTATTTTTTAATATTTTTTTTATTTTTTAAAAATTATTTAATATCCACACATATAAAAATATTTAAAATATATTAATTTAAAATGGAGAAAAAAATAAAAAATTCAATTTTTTTAAATATTTTAAAACGCAAAAACAAATAAAATCTCCCACCTACCAAAACCAACAGTTTCTCAAAATATTTATTTATTTTAAAAAATATTAAATTAATTATTTTAGTGTTTTTCAATAAAAAAAAATATTTTCCAATAAAAAAAAACTTAAAAAATATGTATTTAATAATGTGAGACGTATTTTTGCGATAGAGAAGACCACACCCTCTTTTTTTCTCTCAAAGTTTTACATTAGAGCTGGTAGCTAGAGCAATGAATGTCCTTTCTTTTTCACCTCGATGGTAGGAAGTGAACATTGAAAAAGAGCCCTTGTTGAGGTTGACGGTAATGGGACGTAAAAGGCTTCCAGATCCAAGTAAAAGAAGCCAACCATACTGGGTTTTGTGGACTTGTTCGCAACAAAACTAGAAGATGTGAAGAATGCATGCTCTTAAAGGAGGCACGTAGTCAGCATTGAGTTTTGTTGCAGTTTCATGGACATCAATTTGATTATAAATTTTAATTACCTGTTGCACTTCAGAGGAATATGACACTGCTGCGACAAGAGGGTATCGGCACAAGTATCCAGCAAGAGCATTAGGAGAAGGCATTTATTGGATACTAAGGCACAATAATCCAGGCAAGAGAATGCATGCTCATCTGGTGTACAGGCTAGAATTGCCATCAAAAGACTAGGAAGACGAGCCTCAAGAGTCGCTTAACATCAAACGAGAGGGCTTTTATAATTCACATAAAGAATCCCGATCAGCATGGTGGCAGTCCACAATTTACAGGACTTCAAAACAAGAGTAAGGCCAGGTTTCCAGCTCACCTACAAGGCCAATTTGGTGAAGACTGTTCATGCTGACCCACCAGACATGTTGAATTATGAGCGTTGTAAGTTGCTGTTGATATCTGCTTCGGATGGCATAGAAGAGGAATGGGAATGGAGCTCAAGACAGAATGTGAAGGTGATGATGACCCAGCTTCTTGTTCTGATTTGGTGAAGACTTTTGGAGAGACTGCACTTACCAGTCCCCTGCTTGAAGGTGTAGAAAAACTGGTATATAAAGAACAGGATTTTGTTTAAGCAGATGAACAATCGAAAAGAACAAAGAACAGAATTATCAGCAAAGAGAACAGAGAGCAGAATAGTCTCATATGGTTACTGCCATCCCTTGTCTTTCATTTATAGAAGGAATCAAACATTACAAAATCGTAAAAAGAAAAAGAAACATAACAGCCATAATCTCCTTTATTTAAGGAGTTATGTAAATGTAACTAACTAGACTTATCCTAGATAAGTTAAACTTTAACGAATTGAAAACATATTAACCAACATCACGATAATGCTGCCACTAACAGATAGACAGCAATGCAAGAGACCACGGAGAAGTAACGGTGTTCCAGCTTTGGTGCCATAGCTTCGGCAGAAGGCACATTGTAAGCATTGAGATTGAACCGAGCAACCATATGTGGGAGGCTATTAGAATGCTGCCAGAACATTTCATAAAGGTAGAGGATTAAACATCCCGAGAGCAAATAATGGTTGCAATGCTAGTACAACAGTTTTGAAACCGTCATAACAAAAGTAAGCCAGATGAAAAAAAAAGAAAAGATCTGCATGTGCCTAGTGAAGGAGACTGATGTTGGCAAAGCAGAACCGACAACTGAACTCCATGAAGAACAGCAAAAAGAGCATGGGATTTTGACGGAGCTGCTCAAAAGTGTGGACACATGGTCCGGTGCCCAAGTTTCCTATTGCAAGGAAAAGGTGTTTAGCTTTCATCTAAAAGATAGGAAGTATTTCCAAGCCAACTCTTAGAGAAAGGAAGGTAATGTGCAGAAGAAGAATTAAAGCAATTAACTGTAATGTCAATACTTAATAGCCTATATTGTGTGACTCGTAATTGTGTGGCTCGTCCGATACAGGATACTTGTAAACACAGGAGAGGAAAAGGTAGTTGCAAATGTCTGCAGGAATTCTAGTATGCCAAAGAGGAAATTCTTCTGCTACCATATAAATATGGCTTCTCTAGCAGTCCGGATGCCAAGACCACCCTTATAATTTCCCCTGGCATCTCCTTTACTAAACACCTAGATCAAAGAAGTAACATGCTAATTTGTCAATACACCCACAAATCCTCCTAGCCAGCCATGCTCATACTTCATAGTATAAAGCGGAATTGATGGCAGCAGCAGTGGAGTGAATTGAAGTATTCCACGCACCTAATTTACTGTGAGCTGCAAAACGACAAGGACAATTGGAGGGTGATGCGGGAATGAAGACTTGAATACACTTTATTTTAAGAAGAAACTCAATTTTGATAGATTGGGATCCTCATAGAGGAATATAATTGTCAAGTTTATTAAATTTAAATTTAATTCCAATTAAACATTAGAACATAACTGTTTATCTCGTGTGTTTGGTTTTCATCTTCTCATCCTATTCCCCGAGTTCCCTGCATTACTCTAGGGTCCTTTAACTAATGTTAACAAACATTAAATGACACCCTCCTTCCCTTAAGTAAAGAGCAGATCAATGAAAAAGGAAAAGAAACTAACCTGGATTAAATGACGCAGCAGGGACAGTGCAGAAAAAGGCAAGGGCACCAACCAAGATAAGGTCAAAATAAAGTTACGGGCTGACCACTGGATGGGAAGCTTTCTTGACGTAAGCTTAAAAACATATAAGAACCAAATCGAAATGAGAAAGGACAGACACAAACCTGGAAGAAAAGGTGTTGCAGGTAACAGCGGACGAAGTTTCAGCAGACCTAACTAAAGAGCTGATGCTATCTAGCTTTTGATGAAAGGGTGTCAGCACATTCTTTTTTTCACAAGCTGTGAACTAAGAAAGCAGCAAAATCCTTAAAAGAAAAGCGAAGAAACTAATCTGTAGAGACAGATTCTAAAGAAACAGAGCAGCAGAAGGCCAAAAAAAAGGAAGAAGAAATTACTGCAGCTAAAAAATGCAGCAAGCAATGAAGAATGACACAACCTGATAATGAACAGCACATGAGCAAACATAGAACAAAAGTAGGTGACCGCTATCAGAATAGGTAGGTGACCGCTATCAGAATGCAACCGTCCTCAACAACAACAAAAAAAAAAAAGATGGACCCAGGCAAAGTCGATATCGACACCATTTGAGAAAAACATTTAGCTATACGCAAATGAATGCAGTGAAGGAAAACCATAGCTGCTTAACAACCAGCTGAAGGGTCATATAACCCTGACAAAGGCTATTCGATCGTGCCAAGTCTAAGGCAATCAAACACACACAACATTCCTAAACATGCACATCATAGAACCACTGATCAAAAATAGGAGGAAGCTCAGATATGCTCTTAAATCTAATCAAAAAGTGCTTCCCAAAAAAAAAAACAGCAGGGTCTCTGAAAAGAAACAAAACTACGAATCATAGAGAATAATCGCAAATCACGAACTGAAGCAACATCACGCAACCCATGCCATGGAACATCAGGTGGTTGCGCCAGCAAAAGGTCGTCAAAAGAGCCGAAATCCCGAGAAAGAAAGCAGAAAATAACACCACTGAGCTAAATTCAACTCTAAATAAATGAATAAATTCGGATGACAATGGGTGAGAAAAAACAATGGAAACCTGGAAGATAATAAAAAAACCAACGACGGTAAATTGAATTCCAATTGAGCTACACCATCGAGCAGAAGAGAGAAAGTACGAATGCAGAACCATGTAAAGAAAAGAGATAGATTAGCATAGCGAATCCTCCATAGGTCTCCCAATCAGACTCAAATCAAGCTGAAAATTATACCTAAACTCATCAATCAAAGTTGATGGAATGGGCCATCGAAACCAAATCCAGTTGAAGAGGCAAGGACGTTCGTCCAGCACCCATCCCAACAAAACAAAACTCTGAACATCCTGCACAACTTGTCAAGATGGGAGCGTCTTTCCTGGGCAGCGATTCCAGAGCACCAATCAAGCGAGGAAGACCGGTGAATCAAACCCAGAATTCATCCAATCAGCACCCACCCCCAGAAACAGCAAGCCGAAATAGCAGCCAGGGATGGCAGTAAAAATAAAGTTGGCAAGGCGCGCCAACACTGTAAATTGAAGGGACAAAGAGATACACTCCCATTGGTGGCTGCGGGTGAGATTGATAGTCAGGCACAGATATTAATGATTGATTAAGTTAAAAACAAAATTTTGTTTTAATGGCATCTACATAAATTGCGATTGTGCCTTAAATTTAACAAATGCATAATTTTCATGCCAAAAAAAAAAAACACTCTTCACTGTTTACATGGAAAAAATATAGACACTCTTCGTTATTTTGGGTTGGATTAGATTGTATCCGACAAGTAAAATAAAAAAAATTTAATTTTTTTTATGTATTGTATTTTATTTAAAAAATTAATATTTAATATTATTTAATGATATTATATAATTACATTAAAAAAAATATTATGATAATATAATATTTGTAAAATTTGATCACAATTTCAATTTTATTCCTGATAATATTTTACTTAATATTGTTGTATATTAAAGAAACCATGGAAACGATAATCCTGTTAGATAGATTTTATATATATGATAGAATTGTAAATAGTTTAATAAAATAATAAAAAATATTTTATATAAAATATTGTTTATTTCAAGATATAATAAAAATAGTTAAATCAATAATATTTTAATTAAAAACCATCAATATTAATATTTAATTTTTAATTATTTTATAATCTCAATTTAAAAAATATTATTAACTAAACATATTCAATTAAGTTTTATTAAACCTCAATTCTAATTAAATATATATTTTTTAAAATTAATCTAAATTAAAA